GAGTTCTGATGACAGGGGGGAAGGGACTGAGAGGATAGGGGCAGCCTTTACCTCGTCCGAGCTCGCTTCTTCGCCCCGGAGCTCGAGCAGGACGCAGGTTGCAGTTTGGCGGCTTCGCCGGCGGTGCCTCTGCTGCTTGGAAGGCCCGGCGTTGGCACTGCTTGCCTCGGTGTTCCCGAGCTCGATAGGCCTAGACTGCTGGAGGTAGTCCGCGGCTAAGGCGCTGAACCGGTTTTCGGTGTACAAGGGCCCGTCCTGAGAGCGCCGAGGTGATGCTGACTTGATGGATCGGGTTCCTGGTCCACCGGTGTGTGGCGAGGTGGGGGCAGCCGCTCTCTCTCTTGCCGGGGGATGAAACCTGGCTTCTAGAGGGGCTCCGAGCCTAGGAGGCCCAAGCTTGGGAAGCCTCCTAGTGGGAGTGCCCGCCTTGAGGGGAGGGCTTGGCTCGCCTAACGGCGGGGTGCCAAGGTGGGAGCTGTGGCTGACTTTGAGGCAGTTGGGGGAATTGCTGCTGGTAGTGGTATTGGGATACATGGTGCAGCATCTGCTGCTGGTAGATTTGATGTTGTTAAACCTACTGCATTTGGGCTTGGATGGCCCGCATGCCATGCACCAGGTCATCAAGCTGGTTTTGGCTAGTTGCCGGGGGAACAATGGTTGGTTCAGCAAAGGTGGTTCCAACAGAGGGAGGAAGGGGGACGTTCATGGCGGGAAGATTCACGGGCGCCACTGTTCATGGCGCATTCAGGCTGGGGATCCCATCCACCGGAAGGGGGATGGTGAACTGTCCGATGCACACCACGGGGACTTGAAGTTGTTCCCCGGTGGCGTTCATCTCCGTGCTACGTCCGACATTGTTGGAAGAAGCCATGGGTGTTGAGGTTTCTTGGAAAAAAAGTGCTTTGAAAGTTTTAGAGGGAGGCTTTTAGAAGCGTTCCCACAGACGACGCCAATTGATGGAGCGCAATCCGGTCGGTCCTAGCTGTCAACGATCTTGCCTCTGACTGGAGCAAAAGGTGCCTGAAATGGGGAAGAAAGCAAGTAGTCTCCGGGGAGGAATCCGGTGAGAGTGCTCTGAAGCTCAAGTTAGTATTTTCTCAAAGGCAAGATAAAAAATCAGATGGCGCAAAGTTATCACGTACCTTCATTCGTGGGGGGAAGAGGGCCTTTTATAACCACTTCACGCACTCACTCCCAAGCTCTTGTCAGGTCGGATATCATTACCTCTGCACTTCTGCCAGTTCGGGTGTCATCACCTCTGTTGGGGCAGACAACCGCCATCGCTCTCTTTGTTGGAGCCGTCTCTGTAACTGGAGGTGGCGGTGGCAAGTGGTCGTTGAAGTGCGGCTGTCAAGCGTCAGATCCTAAGTCAGTCAAGCGCGCCGCCTCAGGATATAGACTCCTTTGGTGAGGTACGGTTGTTCAGTTCGGCGGCCTGGAGACGAAGTGTCAGAGTGGTGTGCGAGGTGAAGTCTTGAGTTCGGATAGAAGTGTGGCCCGAACTGCCCTGGGGTGGGCCAGTTCGGGTTGATGCCCTTTGCGCTCCTTGTAAGGCTCGGGGTCAAAGGGAGAGTTCGGGCTCCTTTTGGGGAGCTCGGACCGCTGGTTCTTCCTCTCGGAGCTCGTGCCTTGAGTGCACTGCCGTGTCGAGCTGTCGCTCCTGCCAGGTCACCCTCGGTTGCTTCCACGTGTTGGGTGGCCAAGAGGTCGGGCCAAATCTTCCTCCATCATAAGTAATTAAAAAAATTAAGAAACTAGTCTATGAAAGAAGTATTCTCCAAAACTATTTCAATAATAATCCATTATTATTATTATTATTATTATTATTATTCAACTAAATAATTATTAAAAAAATAGGAAATTAATCTATCAGAAATTGTTTCATAATTATTTAAATAACAATCCATCATCATCATCAACATCATTATTATTATTATTATTATTGTTTCAATAAATAATTATTAAATAATTTAGGAAAATTATTAAGTCCATCTACACTGATCTAGACCACTTGGTTGACTTTGACCATACCGGGTTTTACATTTTTTAACAACAAATGTTTACTTTTAATTAAAAAATAATGTAATTTACTATAATTACAATTACTTTGATTAATAGTAAATAATTTAGGCTTAAAAAGTTAATAATTTACTTTAATTTATTATTATTGTAAATAATTAATCTACTATACATTACTACTAATCAATAGAAATTTCAATAATTTTTTAGAAATGATCATAAAATATTATAATTTATTGTTATTTAATTGATCATGGGGCCCGCCAATAATAGATATTGTAATTCATTGTTTGGCTTCCATCCAGGCAAGTTAATTGGTGTTCGCATAATTCAATCGGCCCCTTGCAACCTTGCATTGGAAATATCTCCAATGAATTAATCCCAACCCAAGGCTGTAAAGGCTGTTAGAACGGACTTTAATTTGCCTTGACTGAAGATGAACTCATTGCATATAGCCCCATGTGTATACAACACACGTAACCAGGGGGAAATGTTTCCAATTCACGGGGATAGTGTATTGTGAGTAGGCATGGATAGAGTTCTTGTAGACAGGAGATCCAGAGTCATTCCATACATGGGGCTTGTGTATGAAACATTGGAACACTAATGTGTTGGTTTAAGTGTACGAAACACTTGTGTGTTTACTTGTGACAAGATTCATACACCTGCATAAATTCACAAATTCACAGCAAATCGTGTGCGATTTGAGGCATCATCCAAGGTGATGAACATTTTGTGGAGGATTAGAATGTCTTGGAAATAGTCCATCCTTCATCCCCTTATACCCCCAACCCCTGGTGGCAGCGGGACAGGTGACAAGTTTGACATTGTTCTTTATGACTCAGGCTCCGGGTTAGCTAAAAGAAATAAATTAAATATTGCCATAGCGCCATTATCAATTTATCATAATATGAAATTTGTACGTCAATGTGCATTCAAAAAATAAATAAATAAATAAAACAATAGGATATCAAACCAGACGTATAAGACCTTTGTTTTGGGTCCTGATATTGTCTTATGGCCTCTGAATTTTCGATATATTTTTAATTATAGTTTCTTTATCATTGTCAAAGTAGAACAAATAAGAATAGCAAAACACTGTTAGATGATTGCTGACCTTGTCTAGGTCACTAGGTGGATATATAAGGGGAAAGCTTCTGACTTTCTGGCAGAATTTTCCCATTTCTCCATTATACAAGGTCTTAGCTAGGAAGTTAGGATAGAGGAGACGGGAGGTAGGGAACATTTTCTCTTTTACTGAAAAACCTAAGAGAAGGGGAATTATTTGGGCACACCTATGAGTCGTCATTCACGGGGGGAGTAAGGTTTAGCTGAACGCTTTGGCTGTTCAGCAAGAGCTAAAGTTTTAGCTGTTTAGCGGACTATGGAATCAATGATAATATTTCATATTAATATTTAAATACATGGGGTCCACATCTTTACAGTGAGGCCCATTAATTTATTACTAACATGGTTCTGCAGCCGGCTGAACAGTTAAAAAAATACATGGGCCCGCATGCACCTTTTACAGTGGGCCCATGAATTTATTATTGACGTACAATTTCATCATTGGTTCCACAGCTAGTCAGCTGAACAGCCAAAGCATTCAGCTAATTGGAATTCCATTCATAGAGGTATTTGTATCAAAACACAAAACGCCTTAATGTTTTGAATCATAATCAATAATAGAACAATAATTTACAGCATTTCTTTGTAAAATTTAGGTCTCATTTGTTTTTCAAAATGTAGGGGCAGGTAAGTTGATGGGTCCTTGATAGGCTGATACTCCAGTAAAGGCGTATAGGTCTATATCTTTGGTCGTTTTTTTTCTTTGAAACTGGTTTAGAGAAGTCGGTTTAAGGCCAGTTTTCCCCTAAAATAGACCAAACACTTAAAATCCACCTGTAGGGGAATAAAGGGAAGCCTCAGGATGGTGTTTGGTATCCATGTACCTTTTGGAAGAAACAGTGCCAACAACAAATTGATTATCAAGAAAACACCAATTTTAACGTTTTTTTTTTTATATTTTTTACTGTTTGGCTTATATGGCGTCTAGTGGCGCCTAATGGTGCTGAAGTATAAAAAATAGTACAAAACGTTTAAAGCAGATTCTATCTCGTAGAAAAAATTTATCTACCAAACAACCTCTAGGTAAATCATTTACTCATTTACACTAAAATTTACTAGTACACATGATGCGATATTTGATTAAAACATTCATTGTATAACAACTTTTAAGTGGGGAATAAAAAAACAGTGAGAAGTGGTAATTTCTGAACACAATTGCTAAGGGTAACGCCAACGAGGACTTATTAATTTTGCTTACCAAAAATGAAATGTACTTGAATCACTCAACGATATTCACGGGCAGGAGAAAACGAATTAGCAGTACATGGAAATTAAGGGAAATCACGTTGATATTTCTGCTGTACTTTCTTAATAAAATTGACCAAATGGGGTGGTATTAATAATAATAATAATAATAATAACAATAAAAACGTAACGGAGACTGGAAAAACAATTGTTATCGTACGTAGCTAGGGACGGCGAACCAAACGTTGTTCTAGACTTCTAGTATGTACAACGCATCCAGATCCAGTCAGAGTTTCTACGCTGTTCATCTACCTTCCTTCCTACAGATTTAAATTGAGAGTAGTTGAATTTTCAATCTTCAACGTAAGACTAACGACCAATTCATCCCCATGTCTTAAGAGGGAATTGATAAAACAACGAGTTTGAAATTTTGAGTACGCATATATGCATTGAAGATTTTGGAGTCATTGCGATGATTCTACAATAAAAAGCCCATTTTGTCGTAAAGAAAAAAAGGAGGAACCTTTTCCCTCCTGCCAATGGCTATAGATCTCCCATTGCTCGAATCCCTGCTACTGCTCTTCGTTTCTATGAATGCCGTCGTAGCCTTAGCCCAGGACAATGGCAGTTTCGTCTGTAATGGCTTCCAAAGAGCCAATCTGCGCCTGGGTGGAACCGCTGTTATCCATCCCACTGGTCTTTTGCAGCTAACCAATACGTCCAAGCAAATAATAGGTCGTGCTTTCTACCCAATTCCTTTGGAATTTAACAAGTCTTCTTCAGCTGAGTATTCTCGGTCTCTCTCCTTTTCTACCACATTCGTATTCGCTATGGTTCGCGGGGCGACTAACGTCAGTGGCCATGGAATCGCCTTCGCTTTCTCGCCTTCCTTGGAGTTCTCAGGGGCTGTCGCAAGCCAGTATCTGGGGCTCTTTAATTTGCCGACTAACAATGGAAACTCTTCCAATAATCAAGTGTTCGCCATCGAGTTAGACACCATTCTTAGCCCTGAATTTTCTGATATAGATGATAACCATGTGGGGATCGATGTAAACAGCCCAAGGTCGATCAAAGCGGCTCCAGCGGCTTATTACTGGAGCGAAGAAGGGAAGAATAAGAGTCTGGTCCTCGTAAGTGGAGATCCTATACAGGTTTGGATAGAGTATGATGGGGTGAAGCAGCAACTCAATGTAACATTGGCTCCTTTGGCTAACCCAAAACCAGACCTTCCTCTGTTGTCGACTTCCATAGATCTTTCTTCGGTTTTTGTAGATTCTATGTATGTTGGTTTCTCTTCATCTACTGGTGCGGTTGCAAGCTCCCATTATATTTTAGGGTGGAGTTTCAGCAGAAATGGCCAAGCACAAAGGCTAGAACTATCTCGTCTTCCTTCACTTCCAATTCTAAGAGAGTCCAAGGCAAAGCAACGACTTTTGAAAATCGGGCTGCCATTGATGACAGTAGCAGCTCTACTTATAGCAACGATGGGGGGCATATACATAATCAGGAGAAAGAAATATGCAGAAGTACGTGAAGATTGGGAGCAGGAGTATGGGCCTCATAGGTTCTCATACAAGGACTTGTATAGAGCCACCAAAGGATTCCGGGACAAAGAACTTCTGGGTGTTGGAGGGTCGGGAAGGGTTTACAGAGGAGTGCTACCGGCAGCCTCCAACACACAGATCGCAGTGAAGCGAATCACCCACGACTCAAAACAAGGGATGAAAGGATTTGTGGCGGAGATTGCAAGCATGGGAAGGCTGCGACACAGAAACTTGGTGCAGCTACTCGGCTATTGCCGACGAAAAGGAGAGCTCATCTTGGTCTATGACTACATGTCTAATGGTAGCCTCGACAAGTTCTTGTTTACCAATGAGAGGCCTAACCTTAGTTGGTTTCAAAGGTACAAAATCATCAGAGACGTAGCATCTGGTCTTCTGTACCTGCATGAAGAGTGGGAACAGGTTGTCCTACACAGAGATGTCAAGGCTGGTAATGTTCTATTGGATGAGGATATGAACGGGAGATTGGGTGATTTCGGGCTTGCGAGATTATATGATCACGGAGCCAACCCTCAAACCACTCATGTGGTTGGCACTCTGGGCTATCTTGCACCAGAGCTTACTAGAACCGGCAAGGCAACTACAATCACTGATGTGTTCGCTTTTGGGGCCTTAATGCTCGAGGTTGCTTGTGGCCGGCGACCCGTAGAGATGCGAGCATTGCCGGAGGAAATGATTTTGGTAGATTGGGTGACAGAATCCTGGAAGAAAGGAGCAATTCTTGAGACGAGAGATCCACGACTGGGCGACGATTATGTGGTGGAGGAAATGGAATTAGTTTTGAAACTGGGGCTGCTATGTTCACACCCTCTGCCCACCTGTAGACCCACCATGAGACAGATCCTGCAATATTTGGATGGGGTTGCTACTTTGCCCAATGTATCACCATTCGATGTCTGTAGTACTGCTGTCGTGGCTTCTGCAAGTGAACAAAGATTTGGTCATTATGTGGTGTCATACCCGACAATATTGATTGGGAAGACGCCGGTTCAAACATTGTCTAGAATCGATTCAATCCTCATCGATGGCCGCTGAATGAATCTGTTCACCATGTAATCTTTTTTCAATTTTTTGATGCCAACTTAAATACAGCCACAGGGGCTTTTGTGTTCTTTGTGATTTAAGGACTGAAAAGAAAGAAATAGAGGGGAAAAAACAAAGCGAAAGACCCAATTGCAAGAATAGTTTATGTTCTTTAAATGTTGAAAGAACAGCTCCTCCTTAATTTGTTTTCCATTTTTCTAATGCACAGAAAAAGACAATAACTATCAACGTCCATACACATGTGGAAGAAACCTTCAAAGCAATAAATTTGTTTTGGGGATATGTCTTTTATCTTTTCAGCTGCTTGTAGAGAATTTTCAACTTTCCTCCCTTTTGATACAAGGCAAGAGAGTCCTGACTCGTGAGTACATAGATGGACCCCATTTAAAATTATAATTATTCCTTTTTCCTCTAGAATTTGTTGAAGGCCTCCAAAGCCACAAAAGTAGACTTTTGATCTGTTGTACCAATTCCATTGAGAAAACGATTTCCCATTTATCAGATAAGTTTAAATTCTGACGAGGATGTAGACTCCACCATTTCAATACATATTTATTTAATAACTAACTTCAACTAACGAGGATGCAGACTTTTGATCTGTGTAATGCCAAGGTTAGAAGTATTCCATTATTATACCAAACTAATGGGATTAATTAGGAGACTTTGGACCATTCAAGTTCCATGATCATGGAACAACTCCTACCGAAATGAGCCTTGACAACTCTCATGATAATTATTATTAGGAGCCTCTAATGAACCAAACTTTAGGGCTTTCTATACTTGAAATTGCTTGTGACTTTGATTAACACTCTACAACAGCCATGCTAATTTTGTCTCCTAAGAAGGTGTAGATCTTCTTTTTATTTGTTCAATGAATCAATTAGTTTTTATTGGCCAAATCATAGGCATGTATCAGATAGGGTTTCCCTCAGTCACTGCCAATGTTTTAAAAAATAGCCCAAAATGGAACAGTTTTTTCTTTCTAGGTAGAGGGTCAATGATTCAACCATTCAAGTTAAATGGGTAAAGTGTGATATCATTTATTAAACAATAAAAATATAAAATAGATAAAATTTGATGTATCTATAATATACATTATATTAACAAAAAAGTTTAATAAATAAAAAATTTTAGTTATTAATGATGGGAATGACTAAAAATGCGAAACAAAAACAGAAAATGAGAATTAATATACTTAATGTGTAAGCCGGAATCAGATGAATCAGCAGTACGAATAAAACCTGGACAAGTAATAGATCAAGCGGTCTGACAGCATTCAATTGCAGGTTGAAAACATTGGTCACCACAGTTAGCTTCACAACCTATGGAGAAAAATATAAAACATTTTTCACGCCTGCTTATGTTATATATGGCAAGCGTCTTATTATTAGGTTGTCCACACTCCACAGAATATGTGGACCCTGGGTTTAGCTACTTTTTGTTGTTATTCCAAAAATTCCACCAAAAGTCATTTTAATAGATCGGCCACACTTTCATATTGGATCTCTATGTGACTCCGGTAGGAGGCCGGTTTCGGTTTGTACCTCAATCACTATACTCTGTGAGTCTGTTACATCATTGAATGAAACATCCTTTGAACCAATGGTTCCCTCTCCGCTTCAGGGCAGGGACCACATTTCCCATCTCTAACCCCAAACCTGATCGGGTATCCTAATTATTCTCATTTTCATCTTGGTCCCCATCAGGGGTGTCAATGGATCGATTTTGAGTTAAACACGTTTAAATTGATTTAGAGTTGGACGGATTGGATGGACCAATAAGATACATTGAATTGGATCAATCTAATCTAAAGTATTTATTTAATTGGACTGGACCTGGTCCATCCCTATTATATTGAATTGGATAGGATTGAATCAATATCCGGTTTTTGATAGAAGATAAGAATACAGGTGACAATGGGCCAAATTTGGATTGGAACCAATTTATATTGAATTGGACTGATTCAAAATAGTCCAGAGTATATTCATTGGATTAGACTGGATCGGGTCTATTTGTGATGGATTCATATTCGACCAACTCAGTCCGATTGACACCCCTAAATTCTCCACCAGAACAGTCTCCATACTTGACTCAATTGCATCAGGGAGGGAAGGGTGCCCTGCGAGGATGGGTAAATTGCCCCTCCCCTTGATAAAATGGAGACTTTATGATCATGGGTTACGCGTTCATGGGTTTTTTTCCGTCAAATACTAAGGCCTCCCATTTCATTATCATGCCTTCAGTTTTGGTGAATGAAAGTGATCACTTCACATTTAATTAATAACATTTCTAAAGTTCATATATCTTTTTTTTTTTAAATATCTTGTAAGTTATGTGATAATAATTTTATCATTTAGGCTCAGTTTGGAAAGAGTATAAATATAAATATGTACATTATAAATGCAAACAAAATAGTCCAAAATACAAGGATTTGTACTTTACATATTTGTATTTTTTTTCCTTTCAAACTGAGCCTTATACTTTTCAAAGGGACAAATTTTTCCTACCATAAATTTATGTGGAAATGAAAATTTAAGATGATACCAATTTCAAAATATATATTTTAATTTGGAGGAAAAACTAACGTTTATTGTTAAGAGCTTTTTAATAAAATAAGGCCCCATTTGGTTTGTGAGAATAGGAGTCTGGAATCGGAATGGGCTATTCTGATTCCAATTGTTTGGTTGGGCGGAATCGGAATTTCATCCGCATTCCTACTGGAATGGTATTCCCCCATTTAAGGGAATGGCCATTCCCTGCCCCTCCCTTGGGAATGAAATCTCATTCCTGTCTGAACCAAACAGACTATAATAATGGACCATTCTGATTCCAATTCCAAAAAATTTTGGTTCTGATTCCGATTCCAAGTACAAACCAAACAGACCTTAACTATTATATTATTGTTCCTTCTCTTCAACTAACGGTGTGAATTATTATTAGATAAACCTTAGGAGTGGTATGCATTTGACAGAAATTTCAAATGAAGTATAAGTAATTTATTCTAATATTAAATAACATTTTACTGTAGGGGAGCAATTTAGGTGGGCCGATATTAAATAATATTTCAAATGAAGTATAAGTAATTTTGACCCAAGCCCAATCCTAATAATTGAGTTGAAGGCCGATATTAAGGTCAAGCCTGAATCTCCTGATCCATCCAATTTGGTCAATCAGCATGCACTAAAAACTCACATAAATGTATATGTAAAAAAAAAATGTATATTGGCACGTATATTTACAAACCTTGCATTTCATTAGTTAATTTTGTGGAATGTTCCTTAATTAAAAACATTTCTAAAATCTCAAACTGCTCTTATATATTTTATAAGACATTTCAACTTATTTTTTTTTCTACAATTCTAACTCAACTTTAATTCAACAAAATTCATCATGAGAATGTCCTGATATATGTATGTATGTATAATATATATATATATATATAGTGGGGATCCGTGCGATGCACACGATTATATAGGAATGACAATGGGGTGGGTTCTGGGCGGGGCACCCTATCCTTGTCCCTACCCCATAGTCAAGACACTCTACCCAATTCCCCATCCCTGCCCCATTCCTAGTGTTAGGTGGGTTCAAGACAAGGCAACCACTCCTCAATGTTGGGCAAGTTCAAAGGCAAGGCACCTCACTCCTCATCAAGGATGGGGAATCCTCAAATTTCCCCACCCCATCCCCAGTATTGGACAGGTACAAGTAGTGGTGTAAACTGGGTCGTGCTGGGCCGAGCCTTGGGCCAAGCTAGGCCACGTACCAGGCCAAATTATGAGAGGCCCATTTAAGAAAAAAACATTGAAAAAGATGTTTAAATTTTTATTTCATATGATTTTTGATGTATATAATTGTTTATATATACAATTGGACCTATTCATGGGCCAAGTAACCTGATGGCCCAGCCTGATCTGACCTGTTATTTTTCAAGCTTGGACAAAATTTTAGGCTTGTGGGTTTGAGGTTGAGCTTTCTCAAATAATCTTGGCCCGATACTATTACATATATAAAAAAGTACTTATGTTATATATAATAAATAATATATATATATATGCTTTTTAAATTATTAATAAATATCAATTTACTATTATGAAATATAAATTAGTTTATTAATTTATTAAATGATTACTAAATTAATCTACTATTAGTTTATAAAAGTATACAAAAAATAAGACATTTTCTATACACATCGGGCTTTGAACTTGGGTTCGAGCTTTGGGCTTTATATAAGGGCTAGGCTCGGACTCAAGATCTAGGTCCGATGGTCAGGCTGGGCTCAGGCTCGAGCTTGCACATTTTCTTTTGATAAAGAGGCCCGTGTTAATTATAAAACTATGATTTTTTATAAATTAACATTTTTATTTAATTCTAGTCTAGTATAAAAAATATATATAACATTTCTACATACATTAATATAAAATTTTTTTATTTAAATATTATATAATAATATTTACCATATATGCATATAACTTCCAAGTTGAGATTATAAGGGGATGTTTAGCTTGGGCCCTATCCGCTAAAGCCATCATTGGACTCCAAAAGTTTGATACCCAATTAGACTTTGGATTTGATTATCTCTAATAATGTGTGGGCATGGTGCATATCTCAACTAGATATAACTTGAAAGAAAATAATTGCTTGAGCCTGCAAATTTATAGATCTAATCAAGTTAAGTTAAGTTATAAATGATTTATTATTTATTATTATTAATTATTAAAATTTTGTTAGCTGTTAAAATATTGTAATTATTAAATTACCGTATTTATTTAAAATACAATAATTTCTAGAAATTATCATATTTTCATAAATATTGCAAATTTCTTGGCTAAAACTAATTAAATGTAATTTTTTGGTAATTAAATATAACTTATTGGTAATTAAATGTAATTTTCTACTATTTATAGCTTAAATTATAATTACTGTGAATTACAATTTAAAAATAGTTATTGTTAATTATATTACTATTAATAATTAAAATACATTATTTTTTCATTATTATTCAGTATTTTTTGCAATAAAATACAACTAGTTTAATTTTTAATTATTTTTAGTATTTTAACTAAGATTTAGGT